ATTACAAAAATGTTTTCTACCTTCTTAGGTGGTTGAAAATTTTTTTTTAAAGAATAATATTTCATGACATGTGAAATTCATATGAAATTCAAATTTCAGTGCCCATAAATAAAGTTTTCATGGAACATACAAACACAACACACAGACACACACACACACACACACGTACGTACACACACACACACGAGCAAATTAAAATACATACACTAGGAAACATTTCTTGATTCTTTCTTAGTTCTTCTGATCTATTTGTCTTTTCTATGCCAATGCCACATTGACCTAGTTATAATGGCTTTATAGCCACTGTATCTTCTGACTTATGGAAATCAGAGTTATTCTTCACTATTTTTCTTTTTCATACTCTCTATTCCCCCACATTAGTATATCAAAAAATCAGATGGATTCTAATTGGAATTATAAAAGATAATATATTAATTTGTGGAGAATACTTTAATATTGTTTTTCTACTTAACTTTGATGTCTTTCCATTTGTTCATATATTCTTTGTTTAGATTCTATGCCTTTCCTTTGCATAATTCTGTCATTAATTTTGCCTTTGTATTTTTTTAAAATTTATATATATATATATTATTTTTGCCTTTATTGAAAATAATTTTTTTTCTAATTTCCTTTTTAGGAAATTGTTAGAATAGATAAAAACTACTGATTTTTATGTATTTAACTTGAATATGGTCACTGCACTTAATTCTCTTGTAATTCTAGGGTAATTTATTACATTTTCCTGTACTATTTTGGTATCCAATTACATCATAGGCAAAAAGAGATATTTTTATATCTTGCTTTCCAATTAATACCATTATTTTACTTAATTTTGTTGTATTCAATAGACACACCATTATTTTAGTGTATGTACTGTCGAAGCAAGCCTGACACACTATTATTAGATAATAATAATTATGACAGAGGCATTTCTATTTGTCTTTAATTTTAATTGAAACAGTTTAAGTATTTGCCGTTTGGGATAATACTTACTGATTTTAATTTTCAAGGTACTTTTTATTATATTAAAATAGCATTCCTCAATTTCCATTAAATGTAGAACTATCATTAGAAATAGCCCTTTAATTTTATCAAATGCCTTTTCTTTTTTTTTTTTTTTAATACTTTGGGAGGCCTAGGTAGGAGGATCACTCAACTGTCTTTTCTTCAACTATTGATATGAACATATATTGTTTTCTCTGATAATTAATGTAGAAGGTTACGTAGTGGTTTTCTAAAACTGAATTATCCAAGCAATTACAGAATTTACCTATTTGGTGTCAATATATTATCCTATAAAAGCATTGCTAGATTCTGTTTGCTACTGTTTCATTTTATTTGTTAGATACATATTTATGGTAGAGATTGATTGTACTATTCTTTTTTGGTAGATTTTTGAACATGTTTTAGTATTAAAGTTATATACATTCATGAATAAAATGGAAGGAATTATTTCTTTATCTATGATATGGAATATTTCAAATACCATTGGAATTAATTTTCTTCTGGTATTCATGCCTGTTTTTAAAGTAAAAGTTTATTTCAGAAAAGCTTTAGATTTTCAGAAAAATTATAAAGTACAGAGAGATACCCAACCTATAACCCATAGATAATTTCTGCTATTTGCTCCTATAGCAGGCAGGAGTTTGAGATTACAGTGAACTATGATGGTGCCATGGTATTCCAGCCTGGAAGACAAAGCAAGAGCCTGTATTCAAAAACAATTTGTGTGTGTGTGTATGTGCAGATGGAATTAGCAAATAGGAAGAAATAATGAAGCAATATTAATAGATTGTTATCAACTAAATTCCATATTTTATTTGGATTTCTTTAGTTTTTAAACTAATGTCCTTTTTCTGTTCTTCATTGCAGGCAACATATTCAATAATGAATTAGTTTGATTTATTGAAACTTGTTCTTGTTCAAGCTTCATTTTGAAGTTTATTCTGGTATAAGCCAGCAGGGAGAAACGGAAAGAACCCAAATTTTGAACTCAAATAAATCTTAGCTCAAACTTAGTTTTCATTATGGAATTACTAATACAGTAAAGTGGTCATATAGTGTGCTTAATTAGCATTAAAACTGTTTTGCAGGAATTGAGAAATGCTGAACCAAATTATTTCATATTTATATGTAATTATAATTCCGTGTTAACATGTTAATTTTTTAGCAGTATTCTAATTCCAGACTATTGAATAAATATTTACAATGAGAAATAATGAAAAAGATTTATTTTTCTCATTAAAAAGTATCTTCCAAGCTTGAAATACTGTGCACCATTCTCGTTACTAAACCATAAGGAGGAAATAATAGCTGGGAAATATAGAGGAAGTGGCCACATTGACTAAAGAAATAGAAATTTTCATACTAAAATAATTTTCTTTTAAGACAGGTCTTGCTTTGTCTTCCAGGCTGGAGTATGGTGGCACCATCATAGCTCACTGTAATCTCAAACTCCTGCTTGGCTAATTTTTAATTTTTTTTTTTTTTTGTGTGTGTGCAAGTGAAATCTTTCTGTGTTGCCCAGGCTGGTCTTGAACTTCTGGCCTCAAGCAATCCTCCTGTCTCAGCCTCCCAAAGTGCTAGGATTAAGGATTACAGGTGTAAACCACTGCGCCTGGCCTCATAGTAGAAACTTTTAAAAGAAATACATATATATTTTTTTTTGTTAAGAGTGAAGAATTTTGAGAGCCCAAGTATTACCAAATTGTGAAGAATATATAGGTTGCACTTCAATGGTGTGATATTTAGATAGGATCTGACAAGAAGACCCAGAAACACTGGATTCCTGCCATTGATCAACTACCCTTCTCTGCTAAGTCCTTGAGGAAAAAGCATTCATCCAGGAGGCAGGCAAGGTAAAGAAACAATGTATTCCCAGCTGTTACTCAGTCAGAAACTCTCCCTTAGAGGTCTGCAAATGAGCTAGGAGGGATGCTACAAAGAACTCCCTTTGTCTAAATTAAGTTAGGTTCAATGGCTGAAAATAAAATCAGACAGAAAGCATATAAAGCCTGCTTTACTCTTTCCATCTCCAGTCTCCAACAAATATGTATATCCAAGCAAAGAGTAATGTAGGCTGCTGCAGACAGAATGGCCAGACAGGGCGTGAAAGTCTGCATCAGTGCCTACGGCAACCATGGCCTACACCTGAGTTTGCAGTTTGGATTGATATCCTTGTTTGGATCATCAAGGGCAGATGATGTCCTTAAGGAATGTGCAATACGGGGCAAATTTACAAGCACCACTAGATTATCATGCAGAGCATATGAATTTTTCTCTTTCATCTCTGTGATTCTAATATGTCATGGTAAAAATCTAGATCTTCTGAATGGGTATAGGTGTCAGCTTCAAAAATAAGGTTAAAATAGGCCGGGTGCGGTGGCTCAAGCCTGTAATCCCAGCATTTTGGGAGGCTGAGGCGGGTGGATCATGAGGTCAAGAGATCGAGACCATCCTGGTCAACATGGTGAAACCCCGTCTCTACTAAAAATACAAAAAATTAGCTGGGCATGGTGGCGCGTGCCTGTAATCCCAGGTACTCAGGAGGCTGAGGCAGGAGAATTGCCTGAACCCAGGAGGCGGAGGTTGCGGTGAGCCGAGATCGCGCCATTGCACTCCAGCCTGGGTAACAAGAGCGAAACTCCGTCTCAAAAAAAAAAAAAAAAAAAAAGGTTAAAATAACATTGAGAGAATTGTGAGGGTTTCTTCCAGAATCCAGGGAGAATTGAAGTTGGTGAGAGGTTTCCAAAATACTGCAATATTCGTTTTCCTACCATTAAAAAAAAATCTTTATCAACTCTTATTTTGGATTATTCGTCTCTTTTCCCATTAGAGAACACCTGAGGACAGGGACTTTCTTATGCCTTTGTATCCTCATAACTTAGCAGGGTATGGAACCTATAGTATAAACCAATTCGAGTTTTTTAAGTGAATAAATAATTTAGCTAGCTATTGAACAGAAAAAAAGGTATTACAGATACATCCTTGGGAAGCATATAGCCTTGCAAGGAGAGGGTCCCTACATGCATGGCACAATTAAGCCACAGTAAATGTTGCACAGAATTGAGTGGCAAATCGTGTATGTACTACAGAGTATGAAAACTATAAAATCTTGTAGCAGGGAAAAATTAAAGTACTGTAGATCATTTGGAGGCAAGGTATGAACAAGGTAGGATTTGTCTAAGCCTTTGAGGATATTTAGAATCTGGACAGAATTCTTGCTGGAAAAAACAGCCGGGGAGAAGCAGAGTTGGATTCGGACATAGATTCCTTAAGTCCCAAGGACAAGCTAGGCTTCTTTTGCCCAAAGGTTGAGACCCACTGGTTTACTGAGGGTGGACTGGGCTTTTTCAGTGCCCTCGCTTTGCTTTATAAACAGAGATGAATCAATACTGTGGTTGTCTGGCATCCGACAAAAGCTGCTGCTTTCAGTCAAGTGCACGACTTCAGTTGTGAGCTTTTCGCCTCCTTCCCTGGGTTCCCCATTTTTTTTTTCCTTTTTTACCCTTGAGATTTTTTTTTTCTGGGCTCCCCATTTCTTGTCACCGCCCTGACCCGTGGGTTTGTCTTGGCAGTTTGGACTACCTACGGGATAAGATCAGAGGTGCTTTTTCTCTGTGAGTACGAGTGGAGCTGCGGAAGCCGCGGAGAGCTTGTGGAACTCAAGCTCTCTGCTTCATACTACTGCTTTTTTCTTCCCTAGGTTTTGTTGAGTAGGGAAACAAATCAAGGTCAAGTTAGTCCTCACCTTCCTAACGCGTTTTCCAGGGTTCTTCTGTTCTTAAAAAAGTTCGGGACCCAAGTAGTTACCCGGGTCAAAAGGGCTATGAGGTTTGGTCCCGCCTCGTTTAAGGCGCGCAGGGCTCCGGGTGGAGCCAGCTGGGAAAGGCTCGCGGCTCGGTGCGCATGCTCCGAGGGCTCGGCCCGGGAAGGTACCACCACTGCGCTCTCCAGAGACTGCGCCCGCCTCTTCCCCAGGCTTCCGGGCGGGCAGAAGTGGGCGGAGTGAGGGCCGGAAGCACCGGGCGGGAGTCTTCATCCCTAATCCTCAATTTTCGTGGAGTGTACCTGGCAAACTGATGATTTTGTGAGACGTCTAATCTCTAGTCGCTCACCCCTCTACTTTACCACAGGGCTAGAAATCGATTTGAGGAAATCTGCTACCAATGAGCGGGCGGGGAGACAACCCCAACGCTGTTTTCTCTCTTTGCGGAAGCTGTGTCCTGGCCTCCTCAGTGTGGTGTTCGTTTGCTTTTTCTCCACACCTTCTCTAGCCGCCTTGTTTTTATCGTTTTCCGCACCTGCCCTTCCGCACCTTCCCCAGCGCCCCCACTACCCCAAGCACCATGTATGACCGGGCTCCCCGCCTGCTCAAACTGGCTGAAGGTGGCAGCACTGAGGCCCATGTGGGTCCTGGATCCTACCAGGTACCTTTCCTGAAGCAGCAGGCGACAGGTAAGTTGTAGGGAGAGGCCCACCTCCTGTGACAGGCATCCCATCTTCAGCCCGCTCCGCTTCTGTGTGCTTGTGAATTAAACATAGAGCGGAGTAGCACCATTTTGCAAGTGTAACAAAACATGAAGTGGTCAGGGAAAACACTATCATTTTCTTTTACAGGTAAGACTAATGGTATCACTTGTCTCATTTCACGAGGCTGCTGAGCATATGGCTAGAACTTTTGATTATACAATAGTTGTCTACATCCTAATTTTGATTGTAAGTTTAGGTCTAGGATTTTGATTTTGATTTCCTGGCTCTGTTGACTCTATGAGTCTCCAAATCCTGTGCCCTTACCTCCTGCTGTCTCTTTGCTTTGTAATCCTGTCTGCCTCACACCTTTCCTCCCATTAACTGGAGACATTTATTTACTAAGATTTAACTTTTATTTATATTTTGCAGTATTATTTGAAGATAGTTCCGTTTTTTTTTCTCAGATGTTTCTGACCGTCCTCATCTTCTTTTTTAACACACTTCAGGGGAGACCCTCTTCTCCACATTCTGTAACGGAAAGCTATATTTTTGACCAGTGGAGTGGGAAGGATAATTTAATTCATGATTTGCAGCCGGGCACGGTGGCGGCTGTAAATAATTATTTATTTACAGCCGGTTGAGGCAGGAGAATCCCTTTGGGAGGCCGAGGCGGCGGATCATTTGAGGTCAGGATTTCAAGATCAGCCTGGTCAACCAACATGGTGAAACCCCGTCTCTACTAAAAATAGAAAAAAATTAGCCCGGTATTGTGGTGTGTGCCTGTAATCCCAGCTACTCAGGAGGTTGAGGCAGGAGACTTGCTTGAACCTGGAAGGTGGAGTTGCTGTGAGCCGAGATCCTGCCACTGCACTCCAGCCTGGGCAAGAGAGCAAAACTCCATTTCAAAAATAAAAATAATAATTTGCCCTCCTCGTTTGGTTTGCAGTTAGTGACTTAGACAGAACTTTAAATAAATACATCAAATTTGCTTTCTACTTTTTCTATTCTGATTTCTGGAGCTTAATACCATCCAAATGATGGTTTTTCTTAACCTGAATTTCCCCCATACCTACACTATGTATTTTGAAGCAAATGCCAGGATCCTATTATTCTGTTATGTAACTATCAGATAAGGGTTGGTTTAGGTTTCTTGGGGTGGAGAACAAATTTGTCTTCTGTCAGTGTTTGAAATTTTGAATTATACTGCTTCACAGCATCTGATATCACTATTCTTGCAGCTTATTCTATGTCTTTATTTTAATGGAGTTGAGCTACTGTAAGTACTAATTCCCCCAATAATAGTCATAGGTAGCTAACCTATGACACTGTGCAATTCTTAATTTTGACACAACTGACAACTTTCTTCTTGGAAACACTTCTTTCCAAAAGTAACATTTTCTCCTGGTTCTTTTTCCAACTACTGTCTTGGAAGAGTGTCTGGCATGTAGTTGGGACCTAATAAACATTTGTTAAATGCTGAATCAGAGCATCATTTTCTCCCCCTCTCCAAGCAGTCCTTCATGGTCTTTAAATGTTTTTATGCTTCTTGTTGATGAAAAGAGTCAAACTCTGTAAAATATTTTAAGAGATTTATTCTGAGCCAAATATGAGTGACCATGGCCTGTGACACAGCCCTCAAGAGGTCCTGAGAACATTGGCCCAAGGTGGTTGGGGTACAGCTTGGTTTTGTGTGTTTCAGGGAGTCATGAGACATTAATCAAATACACTTAAGAAATACATTGGTTTCTTTCAAAGCGGCACAACTCAAAGTGGGGGCTTCCAGGCTATAGGTAAATTTAAACATTTTCTGGTTGACAATTGGTTGAGTTTATATGAAGACCAGGCATCAAAGGAAATGTTTAGGTTAGGATAAAGGATTGTGGAGACCAAGTTTTATTGTGCCGAGGAAACCATCAGATAGCAGACTTCAGAGAGATAGCAGGTTGTAAAATGCTTCCTACCAGACCTAAAAGGGTGTGTGGTTCTTACTTGATTATATCCTGGATCTGGAAAGAAAGGAAAACAAAGGGGAAAGGGTATTCTCTATAGAATGTAGATTTTTCCCACAAGAGACTTTGCAGGGCAATTTCAAAGTATGGTAAGGAAATATATTTTTGGGTAAAACATTTTGATTTTCTTCCTTGTCTCATAATATTATGCCAGAGTCCGATTGGAAAGTAAACCATGATATATAGGGTTAAATAAAACCCTTCTGATGAGAATTTATTGGTTTGTAGAACATGACTCCCTAGACCTCTTAGATAGGAATTTGGGCAAGGTAAAACAAATCAGAGCTGAGTCCTCATTCTAAACATCTTTAAATGTTTATATACTGTACTTTCCATCCTTTGCTTGTTGCTTTTCTCATATGTACTTTCTCTTTTGTGTCCATAGACCACAATATTCTGATTCTGATGACTCCCAGAAGGAAATCTTTAGAGATATGGGTGATTTATATCTCTAAGATGAGCTTTCTCCTAATCTTTTGGCTTTCAGCACTGTCAGTCACTTTTGTTTATTTTTCTTTTCTTTTTAATTCTTTGTTTGTTGTTGTTGATGTCCTTGAGTCATAACCCATTACTTTTTTGAACATCTCTACCTAGACAGTCTCTGGTATCTGAAGTTTTTGGTGTCTGAGCTCATAATTTTTTCCAGTGGTTCTGGTCCGTTTTTAAAAATTCCTTATTAGTCTATGACAAACTATAAGTTTTGGAATTATTCTAGATTCTTTCTTTCTTTTTTATTTTTCTATTTTTTTATTTTTATTTTTATTTTTTTTCTAGCTTCTTTTCTTCCTGACTACTCCTGTGGATCATTAACAGCTAATGATTCTGTCTTCTCAGTGCCTCTTTGGTTGGTTCCTCTTTTCCATTTAGCAGTCCTTGACTTAGTTCAAGCTCTCATTATTTCTATTTTGAATTAAACTTATAAAATATTACTTGTTTCTCCTTATTTCAGTCTTCAGTCCATCTTCTATCTTGTGGCTAGAGTGGTCCTTCTAAGATTTATTACGTTATTTGTGGGAAAAACCCTCATAACATCAAGGTTAAAATCTAAACTCCTTAACATGGTTCATAATGTTCTTCATGCTATGGGCCTTGCCTCGTCACCCACACCTCCACCTCCACTTGACCTACATTTCAGCAATTTCAACTTTACAGTTTTCCTAAGTTCACGCTCAGTCAACTCTGTGCCTCTGTATCTGCTGATACATTTGCCAGTACACTGTTTTCTTTCTTAACTTGGCTAATTCATATTTCTTTTTTGAGATTCAGCTTAAGTTAAGTTGTTCACTGACTCTACGCTTTCTCAGGTTTTTCTTCTCTGACTCCTTAATGACTTTTATAGTGATTCTGTATTGTAGTTAATGTTAACTTATCTGGCAGCCCCACTAAAACGTGATGGTAATAACCATGATCTTTACTCCATTATTCTTAGTTTTTAGCTGAATACCATAACACATAAGTTAAAAAAACAAACAGTAATCTTGAAATAAAATTAAAATATACTGAGCCACATATAGCATAATTTAAAACTCTTCTTAGAGAGCATTAAGTAGCGTGTGGTAAACCCTTCTTTTACTGTTTTATAGGATGGTGTCTTGATCTATGAGATAAAGTAGGAAATTCCATGCTTCAGAAATTTGAGCAGCTGCATCCTATAAATCTTGGTTTAACAATACTAAGAGATAATATGCTGATAATCAATAGAAGGAACAGGTATCTCTTTAGTGATTTCTCTGCTGGATTCTCTAGAAGATAATTAAAAAGTAGCTGCCATCTCTTTCCTAGGTACATACGACCTCACCTACCTTTAGGACTAGTAATTGGACTATGCAGAAGTGTACAATTATTTCAGCTAAGGGTCAGGTACATTTTGTCAAGTGTGGTGTAAGAAGAACAGATGTAGGGGATTTATACAGCTTACTTGTTACTTTGAATTTCACAAGAGGAAAAGACCTTAGAGCCTTAGATACATATACTCTATTCCCAACCTTCTCCCCTAACTACCACTCTCCCACTGTCCCCTCACAGTAGCCTGCTTGACCAGGCCAGTTTTTCAGGGCATTATCTATCTCTCTACATTTTCCTCAGGAAATTCTTTTTACCTTAATTGAAATTCTATTTCCTTGGCTGTAGGCCATTTTATCAGGGAGAATCTCTTCTACCCAGAACTGCAACCTGAAAGGACAGGACTAAGCTGCTTTTCTTCTTTCATAAGGTGGGTGAGAGTAGATACTCAAATTCCAGATTAGTGAGAGCTATGCCCAATTTTCTCACAATTACCTGAGAAGCAAACATCTCTTATTAAAGTAAGTATTCCCCAAGACAACCAGCCTAGTATTATGTGATAAAATCATACTCCTTTTACTAATGTGACTACTCCTGGCATTATTGTGCTGAGTATTTCATTGTTTTTTGGCTTATTTATATAAGAAATATCAGCTGTGTAGTAGTTATCTCTATTGGTTCGCTATTAGTTAACTAAGCTGGGTGACATGACCCCCTAAAATATTCTTTCCCAGGTTTCCTTTTTGATGGGGATGTGGTTAGCTTTATCTGCCACAGAAGGATTGTCTATGGTCTTGTACCTGTGTCTATGTGTTTATGCCAACAATGATAATTTTATCTTATTAGCCTATCAGAATATAGCTGCATCAGGGAATGCAATCTATATTTTTTAAAGTTTAGATAATATGTATGTGATTGCTGTATATGTTGTTGTCCTGAAGATGAGTATATGTTTCAAAGATCTAGTTACTGCTTTTATGTGAAAAATGAATTTTTCTTTGTTTTGTGGCTGTAGTTGTAGCTATAGAATTTATCCTTTAATCACATACTGTCCACCTTCTTTCTCAGTCATAGACTGACTTTTATTGCTTCTTACCAGTTTGATTTATCTTCCTCTGTTGGTGCCTCAAACTCAATATATCCCAAAGTGAACTCATTTCTTTCTTCTCAAATCTCCTCCTCTATACACTTAATTTCTTCTTTCTGCCAGTTTGATTTATCATTTGTAGTTGGCACTTCACATGTCAATATATCCATATGTACCATATCAAACTCTACCATCTCTAATTTTCCAGAACACTATTCTATATTTTATACTTTAATTTTTGGCAGTGCTTTTTGTAGCGTAATTGTCTAGTTGTCAGGCTTAGTTACTATTTGAGGGCAGGGTTTTATCTTATTCATTATTGTACCCTCACTGCCTGTCGTACATACATGTCTCCCATACATAATAAAACATTCACTGTTACAGAATGGATGACTAGTTTAGAATATCATTTGTTAATTGGTCACCCTCATTATAAACATTAGGCACACAGCTATAAATAAATCAACACGTAAGGTCCTTCTCTCATGGAGTATATCATAAACATTTAAGTTTTTTTGTAGTTTAACTTGTGCTCAATATTTCATATATACTTTTCTTGACAAAAGACTCTATAGAATTAATTTTGGAAAACTTCAATGAAGATTTTATGAGTACCAGCTTTCTTGATTCTCTTTGTTGCCCAATTATTTCATAAGTATATATTCTACCATTAATAATGTCAATACTATGTTGAATAGATGGCTAGTATTTGTTTTTTTTTTTTTAATTTTTGTATGAATTTCAGTACTCTACAACTAATTTTACATTTATTTAGGCAGATTCACTTAGGGGTCCTGCTGTATTCTGATGCCAACTACCTCAGAAGTAACCTGAGTTTCACTTTCTTAGTTTTCATGTTTATCACACATTACCTTAATGTTCATGTGAACCTAAACTTAAAAAAAAAACACTTTTATTGTGAGATAGAATACTTACATAGAAAATCACATAAAATATAAATATAGACCTTAAAAAGCAGATATTCAAGTTAAAAAATAGATCTGTTATTAGTGGGTACAGGAAAACAAAAAAAAGCAAAAGAAAACAGAAATAGAACATTGCCAAAATTTTCTTTTTGGTGCTTTTTATTTCAGTGTTTCCTTCTTGCCTACAGTTAAGCACTATCCTGATTGTTACAGTAATAACTGCCTTGCTTTTCTTTATGGATTGTTAAATCCTGTTGATGAAATGACCCCTTTATCATTATAAAGTAATATCTTTTATCCCTGTTATTCCTTGTTCTAAAGTCAGCTTTGTCTTATTTTAATATTGGCACTCTAGCTTTTTGGATTCATGGATGCATGTTATAACTTTCCATCTTTTTAATTTCTGTTTTTATGTTTTGAGACAGTTTCTTATAGACAGCATAAAGTTTGGTCTTTTTAATTCAATCTGACAGTCTCTGCCTTTTAACTGAGGTGTTTAGAACTTTATCGTTAATTTCACTACCAGTGTCTTTGGATTTAAATGTACTTTTTTGCTATTTGCTTTCCATTTATCTCATCTGTTCTTTTTCCTTTTTCCCTATTTTGGTTGCAGGAATAAAAGTTTTTAAAAAATAATTCTTTCTTATACCCACATTGGTTTATTTGCTATACCTCTCTGTTTTATTTTTAAGTGGTTATGTAGGGTTTATGATATGTATTTCTAATTTATGATAGTATATCTTCAAATAATGTTGTACCACTTCATATATGGTAAATAAGCCTCATAAAGTCTGCTTCTATTTGTACATGTTACTTCTACATCTGCTATAATGCCTCAATAAATTGAGACTATCTTTGCTGTAAGCAATTGCAGACAGTTCTTGACTTATGATGATTCAACTTACTTTTTTTTTAAATTTTGCACAATGGTATGAAAGCAATATGCATGATCCAACTTACTTTTTAAAAAAATTTTGCACAATGATATGAAAGCAATGTGCATTCAGTAGACACCAAACTTCCAGTACCCATAGAGCCATTCTATTTTTCATTTTCAGTACAATATTCAATAAATTACATGAGATATTCAACATTTTATTATAAAATAGTTTTTATGTTAGGTAATTTTGCCTAACTTTAGGCTAGTGTAAATGTTCTGAGCATGTTAGGGTAGACTAATCTATGCTGTTATAGTTTAGGTATATTACATACAGTTTCAATTTTTAATATTTATTTATATTTTTAATTTTTTTTTGAGATGGACTTTTGCTCTTGTTGCCCAAGCTGGAGTGTAATGGCATGATCTTGGCTCACCGCAACCTCCGCCTCCCAGGTTCAAGCAATTCTCCTGCCTCAGCTTCTCGAGTAGCTGGGATTACAGGCATGCACCACCACACCTGGCTAATTTTTGTATTTTTAATAGAGACAGGGTTTCACCATGTTGGTCAGGCTGGTCTTGAACTTCTGACCTTGTGACCTCCCAAAGTGCTGGGATTACAGGCGTGAGCCACCGCGCCCAGCCAATTTACAATATTTTCTGATTAAGATGATTTTATCGGTAAGTAACTATCACAAGTCAATGAGCATCTGCATTTTTTAAAGGGATTAAGAATTGAGAAAAAATGCATTTTATTAATCCACAAAAATTTGCTGTTAATTCCATCCAGTGTATTTTTCATGTTGTAAATTTGATTTGAATCTTATTTTTATATCTTCTCATGTTCACCTTTTCTCTACCTTGTTGAATATATAAAGAATATTTACAATAGACAGTGTTCTTTTCTGCAGATTCCTCCTTTTCATTTCTTGATCTGTTTCTTTTCATTGACTTTTCTCCTCTTTATAGGTCATATTTTCCTGTGTCTTGAAAATATACTCTCTGGTAATTTGTATGACTCATTTTATATGTAGTTTGAGTGCGTATGTGTGTGTTTTTATATGTGTGTTTGGAATGAAATCTGGTTCTTGTTCTCTGGCTGTTTACCTTGAGTAAGTAGAATGTTTCACTGGTGTCCTGGGTTTCTCAGTCTACCTGACAACTGTTGCCTTTTCAAAATGAACCTTGGCTTATTTTTAAGTATTTCTGGTCTTTTGGTCTTTGTAAATTATTTGAAGGTCAGTCTGCCTTCTTTCCAACCTTTCTCTTCCTTTTACCCTTCCCTTTCGTCTTCCCTCCTTCTCTGCTTTGGGATAGCCAGCTAAACCATCAGTCACTAAATTAACACCTAGAGTTTTAACATCAACCATGAAGTTTTTCGTGATCACCTCAATGTGAATGAGAACTTCTCTTTTTGAATTTTTGAGCATTTGTCTTCCATTATGGCATTAGAGATGCTTTTCTTTAAAATTATTTCAATACTTCTCTTAAAATTATTTCAATACTTTTCTTAATGCTTCAAAATACTACTTTTTTAGAGGTAAGATCTATATTTTGTTCACCTCTTTTATGTTGCCATACTTAACACAAATAAATAATTCTTGACATTGGTTACGTTTTAATACATGTGGGCCTCAAAAGAAACATTTTATTTTAAAGAGAGTATCTTTTATTATTAGTCCAGATTAGCAAGATTTTTATTATATTATCACTATACATTATTACAGTAATAGCACACATTTTCCTTTAGTATACAAGAGTTAGTGTAAAAGTTTTGAGTCTTCACTTGCGTTCTTTAATTACCTATTTATTACCTATTAGAATATAGCTGCTGCTCTATTCTCTCCTATCTCTTCTTTAATATCCACATTGCTTAAACACTAGTAGTTTTTCCTGTAGCTCTTGAATTTTTTAGAATCAGTTTTTTCAGTAGAGTTTTCAAGTTTGTATAATCTTTTGATTACTTGTTGCAAAGAAACTTGTGTCTTAGATTTACAAACCTTTGTTTAGGGTCAGCCAGTCAAGGAATACTGTGTGCCTAGGCAAGGAGACATGACCAATTATCTGCTGTAAACCCACTTTAAATTCTTTCCTCCCCTGTTGGAGGACCAGATAAAGTCTTTGTTGAAGTGATTGATATAGATACAGATTGCTGTTTGATTTGTATGAACATGGAGCCTATGGTAATGGCTTTTAAATTATCAAAATTTGAAAAGTTCTTTTTTCACAGGATTTTGCTTTTTGTTTAACTTTTTAATTTTTTTGTAAAATAAATTATTAAAGTTATTTTTATATGTCTACTCTTTAAACATAGAAATTCTGATCTTTTTAATCTAGGCTGTCTTTACAAGTTTATATATGCTGTTTTCTACAAGTAATATATGCTATTTCAAAATATAAAACAATGGTCTTCTGAGGATGAAAACATTTTTATCAGCTAAATATAACTGACATTTTCATCACCACCAAAAATGATTAGAAGACAAGGAGGTTTTAGTTTGTTTTTTCTTTTCTTTTTTCTGAGATGGAGTTTCACTCTTGTTGCCCAGGCTAGAGTGCAATGGCACCATCTCAGCTCACCAAAACCTCCACCTCCCGGGTTCAAGCAATTCTTCTGCCTCAGACTCCCAAGTAGCTGGGATTACAGGCATGCGCCACCATGCCCTGCTAATTTTGCAATTTTAGTAGAGACGGGGTTTCTCCATGTTGGTCAGGCTGGTCTTGAACTTCTGACCTCAGGTGATCCACCTGCCTTAGCCTCCCAAAGTGCTGGGATTACAGGCATGAGCCACTGTGCCTGGGCTGTTTTTTATTTTCTTTAGGTATTTTGTTGTTGTTCAATAAGTCCAGTTCTTTAAGTTCTTGTATTTAATATATTAATAAATTTCTGATCTTATATAAGATATTTAATAATTTAATAACTTCTCTGACTAGCCGTTAGTTCTGAAAGTAAAGTCTTAACCATTGAGGATACTCATGATTATTTATATTTTGAGTGTTTTTTTTTCTCCCAAATCCTTTGACTCCTATCTTATCTGCTGGTCATATGATTTTATTTTTATAGGTAGTTATGCACCATTTCTTTCTTTGACTGCCAGAGAAAGTACTTTTACCAGTGCCTCTAGCATTGAGAAAGCTATTCCAGGTCCAGGACACTATAATGTTTCAGAAGCCCAGGTAACTGTATAAAGTTACTATAATTGACTTAATAAAATCATGTTTTCTTCCCTGAATAGACCAAATGTCATTTGTTGTATTTTATTTTCTTCTCATATTGTCTTTTACTTTCAATTTGTATTTTATAATTTGAATAATATAAAATAAATGTATTCGATATTGGTCACATGATTCGGTTGGATGTTTTTCAGTATTCAATGTGTTCTATAAGACACACAACATCGTTACATGCTGTATGGTCCTTGAGAATGAGAGAATAGAACTCTTAAATGATTTATGGCCCATAGAAGTTGTACAGATAGTCAAAATGTGTAGAAGAGCAATGGCAGTAGAAGAATTTGTTTTTGTGCCATACTTTAAAGCTATAGCCATTGCCCTTGTCTCATATGTCTTCTATTTCTGCACAGTCTCAGGAGTCTGTGACTGGAATATCTTCAATGGTTCATTCATGTTTAGAAATAGTGGATATAACTCGATATCTTCATAGCCATTAACATAATCTTTTTCCATTTTCACATAAATTTTGCATTTATATGTACTGGCTCCTAGCTGATTCCAGCAGACCTTTAACTCCCCTGTTGGAGGCCCAGATAAAGTCTTTGTTGAAGGACTGATATAGATTCAGATTGTGGTTTGATTTGTCTAATCATGTAGCCTGTGGTAATGAATTTTAAATTATCAAAATTTGAAAAGTTTTTTTTCCACAGGATTTTGCTTTTTGTTCAACTTTTAAATTTTTTTGTAAAATAAATTATTAAACTTATTTTTATATGTCTACTCTTTAAACATAGAAATTCTGATCTTTTAAAAATAGTACTCAAGCAGTAAATTGCCTATTTAAAAACAAAAGTTGACTCAGTTTTTAAAAGAAGACCTCCTTTGTATATTTCTTTCTTTCTTTTTTTTTTTTTTTGAGACAGAGTTTCGCTCTGTT